TGCCAGGGTAGGTTTAGGCTGGATATTAAGAAGAAATTTTTTACAGAGAGAGTAATGAGGCATTGGAATGGGCTGCCCAGGGAAGGGGTGGATTCTCCTTCCCTGGAGGTTTTTAAGATGAGACTGGATGTGGCATCAGTGCCATGGTCTGGGAACCACAGCAGGGTTGGATCAAGGGTTGGACTCGATGATCTCGGAGGTCTTTTCCAACCTGGTTGATTCTCTGATTCTGTGATTCTGTTCCTTTACACGTGGCTGTGGTACATTGTGCCCTCCTGGCTGAGCTGCCTCCAGTGTGAGCTCACTCAGCATAAGTAAATCATGGCAAGGGTGGTTGAGCTCCAGACCAGAGCTAAGCTGAGCTGTGCCAGCTGGGGAGGGTGGTGGCAGCCTGGGCTCCTGCTTACGGGTATGTGTATTGCTTAGTATGTGTATTGCTTAGTTTTGGCCCAAGCATGTGGCATCCCCTGCCAGGAATGAGCAACACTCTCCTAAAGGAATCCCAGATGCAGCTGGCAGAGGTCTTCACTCCAGTGTCCACTTAGACAGTATGGATGAGCATGGCACCAAATTCAGCTTTCTCCATCTGGTGCTGGGGCCAGTGCAATGCCACATATGTGACCACCTGACTCACACGTGCACCTTCCCTTAGCCTGTCAGGCTGCTGGGCTATCACACAGCACTGTATTCCAGGCACTGAAACACATAAAATGTCTCGGAGGTCATGTAGGACAACTGATATAGGGCAATATGAGACATTCAGAGCTTTTGGGCCAAGGCTCTCCCTTGGTGCCAGCTATAAAGCCCACACAGAAATAGCTGTGCAGAGGAGCCCAGACAGTCCCAGCTGCACTCTGCAGAGGCTGAGTTCATTTCCAGCAGAGCTTCTGAAACATATCTGAACTCCCAGGGCAAATGGGGGGGAAACCAGGAGTGTGGTAACTGCTGTGCCCCCCTTTCCTGCTGTGAGGAGAAAGCCTTTTTTCCTTTCTCCAGGCTGTGACTGTGTGTGTGGGTGCCTCACTGCTTTCACCACCTCAGGGCAGCTCCTCAGTAGTGCAAAGGCAATCAGGTGCCTAAGGGCAGAGATTCTCAGCCCTTTAGCTCTTTATCCAGGTCACTTGAGATCACAAATGACCCAAAACCAGGTGAAGCATGAAAAGAGGTGACAGGAGGTGATCTGGTGTCCTTGGACACGTGGGGCAGATAGTGCTATGAAAGTTTTGAAATACTTTATTATGGGTTGCAGGAGAGGCTGTCAGCTGGATAATTACTACAAACGGTGAGGGTTTTTTGCAATTGCCAGGACTAAACTCTCAGCACTAGTGGGGACAGCACTTTTTTTCCCCCTTTTTTTCAGTCAAAACACGGGCCTTATTTTGTTTCATGTTATTGACAAGCTGAATTGTCCTGGCTGGCAAAACCTGCGATGATATCCTAAGGGAAAGCGGACTAGTACCAGCCATTAGGGATGCAGAGTAACAAATTCTTTTAGCAGAGTAATTACAATACTTATTCAAGCATCCAAACAGAGATTTCCTGCTAATTACCACGAGGTCTGAAGCTCCTGCGGGGAGGGATGGCTTGTCTGAGGACTTGGGTCGGTCTGCAGGTCTCTCAGTTACTCCACACAAGTTTCAGGCCAAGGTCTGAGTTTAAGACTTGCCAATGTTGCTCTGCTCACAGTGAAGGCAAACCAGGATTGCTCATCTTGAGGGCTTCAGCAGCTGCAAATAGTGAGTACATGTAATTTGGGCCTATGTTGACAAGGGAGGGAGTATGCACTCTTGTTGTATGTAGATGTATTTGTATCAAGGGGTAAGTAATCGTGCCTGGAAGAAGCTACATTAAAGGTTTAAAGCAGTTCTGTGTCATTGTACTAAACATTCCTATAGTTATGTGTGTTTCTACTTCACATCTCACTTTTCTCTGTGCTGAGATTGATCATTTGAGTCACGGTCAAAGTATTCTCGTGGGCACTTGGAGAGCTACAGTAGTGCCACAGAAAAGAAAGCTCCTGAGGGAAATGCAGCAACACTTGCCTGCTTTAGCTCGGGTCCTTTGCAGTTGTTGACCGAACAGACTCTGTGGGAGGTGTGGCTGCAAGGCTGTTTCCTCTGCTCGTGCTGTGCTGCCATCTGATGGGCACCGGGAAGGGACCGCGAGCCCACAAAGCCCTGGAATGTAGGACCGTTCTTCCCGCGTTATGTGCCCGCTGGGAGCTGTACCCGCTTTTAGATTAACAACGAACTCTCTTTAAATAATCTCGGGGAAGCAAAAACCAAGAGTCCATCTGTTATTGGTAGTATGACAACAGTAAAGCTAGATAAAAACCCAAGCATTTACTGGTTTCCCCGTCCCTAAGTGCCCTCTCATATACCTGAGAAATTTCACTTGATAAACCCTTTTTGTCCTGATTTTATACATAGTCTTCCTGGAAGACTTCTGTCCACAAGAAATGCCTGCTTAAAACCACCCATATCACACAGTGGGAGCAGCTGCCATGTGGATTGAAAGTACCCTCCCCAAACTGACTATCTGGCCACCATAGCTTCCCCAAGGGGAAAATACATCCAGAAGCAATATACAGGTAGCAGCCCTCTTCACACCCAATCCAGACTCAGTCTTAGTCTGCCATTCAAACAGTCTGACTGTCCCAAACTTCCTTAGAAGAGTTGTGTTTGGCAGTACAAACTGTGACCATCTTGTGTGTCTGTCACAGCTGCGGGTGAACCAGGATGAGCCCATGGAAGATTATCCCCTGAAGGTGGAGGGGGGCAGGGAGGACGAATCCCGACGCTTCGGGATGGGCCAGACCACCAAAGACCAAATGAGGACCAACGTCATCAACGAGATCATAAGCACAGAGAGAGACTACATCAAGCACCTGAAGGACATTTGTGAGGTAACAGAATAAAAGGGGAAGTGAATGTAAGAACTTGTCTGAAGGATAAGGGAGTATGTCCCACTCTTGCCCAGAAAGGGACCCTGAGCAGGTAATTTTCCTGAAAATGAGACTGTATTTCCCTCAGAGCCTGCTCTGCTGGCTGGTATTACACGCTCAGAAAACAGAAGACAATTCATTACAGCAATATCCCAAATGCAGAGGCATTTGGAGCACTCACTTGTGCTCTGATTAAATGGCATTAATTGAATTTCCCAAGCCAGAGAAAAGTAAATGTCTAAGCATTGCTGTCCTCTCTAATATGTGTTCTAAGCTAATATAATCAGCAGCTCCAGCCCTCAGGCAAGTCGTGCTCAGATCAAAACAACTGGGGGATGCTCAGCCAAATGGGTCCTTCACTTGCAAATATGCTGAGTATTGGGACACCTCTCCTAAAAGAGATGCACTGGTCCTAGGCAAGGTAACTGGGGAGAGTTCTGCAGGAACACAGTTCTTTACTGAAATGGTACAAAAGTGCAGTGGCTCCCAGGAGAGTAGCTGGGGCAAAGCAGCACCCACGTACAAACAAGCCTCTGCAGTGTCCTCATGTCCTATGTGCACTCCTCCTCCCTGAGTCAGCCCACACAAACATCCAAACCAGATCCACAGCTGGATTTAATTGGCCTGAATCTATCGGTGGGTCAGTGCTGGGCTCACAACATCCCATAGCCTGAAGCCACATAAAGGTCTTTTTAACAGGAGGAAAAGCAGCTCTGTGACTCCTTCAAGTGTGGGTGACAGGATCCTTCAGGGCAGTGATGTGTCTGTGGCTTGGCTTCTATTTCTACCATGTTTGGGGTGACATTAGAGGAAATAACAGCCTATGCAGGAAGGAGGTGCAGGAACCTGCTGTGCACCTGACTGCAGTCCCCGGGGTTTTCTGTTGGCCAGAGAGCACATGCCCAGGAAGGTTTACAGTTTGGTTTCCTCCCAGGGCTACATTAAGCAGTGCCGCAAGAGAGCTGACATGTTTACAGAGGAACAGCTGAAGACAATCTTTGGGAATATTGAGGACATCTACAGGTGCCAGAAGAAATTCGTTAAAGCACTAGAGAAGAAATTTAACAAAGACCACCCACATTTGAGTGAGGTTGGCTCATGTTTCTTGGAATATGTAAGTAAATTTTACTTCATGGGAAAGGGGTAGCTGAGCATGGATTAGGCCAGAGAATTTAGAAATTGATCCGACAGAACCAAAGCTTTCTTTAAAAAGACCCGCCCAACCAAACTAAATGCCACACCCCCTCCCTCCACCCTGTTCAACCACTCCCCCTGCTCGCAACTAAACATCCTGTAACTCTTGTGGCTGTGGAAAGAGTGTTTTCAGAGTGCTCCGTCTTCTGAACACTACACTCCCTGCCAGACCTTGGCAAAAATGTAGGAAGATTCCAAAATTTTGAGCTGGACTTGAGTTTACAGGATGGTATTTCCAGGCCAGTGCCAGATCGGCAGCAGCTGATCCACTCATTCAGAGCATTCAGCTGGACACAGCCCAGGATACGTGGGAATGTCCTGGTCTCTCAGAGAAGCTGCATGTGCTGTAACCTGTAACACACCTGCCCATCCCCAGCTCCAGGTCTCTGGGCTTCAGAGTCTGGAGAGGCTGCAAATCCCCAAACGGAGACGCAGGAGTAGGACCTACCCAGGGAACACACATGGGAGTCTGAGCCAGGCCATCCCCCTGAGGAACATGGCCAGTGAATCCCTCCGTTTCCCTTGCAGCAAACAGAGTTTCAGATCTACTCCGAGTACTGCAACAACCACCCCAACGCCTGCATGGAGCTGTCCCGCCTCACCAAGGTCAACAAGTACGTTTACTTCTTCGAGGCCTGCCGGCTGCTGCAGAAGATGATCGACATCTCCCTGGACGGGTTCCTGCTGACCCCCGTGCAGAAGATCTGCAAGTACCCCCTGCAGCTGGCTGAGCTGCTCAAGTACACCAACCCCCAGCACAGGTGGGTCAGCCAGGGGCAGGGAAGGAGCCGGGCTGGGCTCATGGAAATGGATTTGTGCGGAGCCCTGTATGGAGGGCAGTTACCAACAGCAGCCAACACCACAGTTCTTGGGGGTTACCTTGTGGAAACCAGGAAAAGAAGTATTTTTTTGTCAAATATGTATTTTTCCATTACAGTAGCACTGGGCTTTCCTGTCTATTACAGATCTGGAGTTACAAGGTCCACCTTGTAATGGCACTTTTCTGTTTTATTTGGCTCACTTGTCTGTGATACCAGCACATAGATACTCTGGAGTTACATGTTTCTGGTGGTGGTGGTGGTGAAAACTTTGTCTCCAAAAGCATTGGTTGAATATACCCCAAAATGTCCACATAGCTACATCTCACCAGTGGGAAGTCGTGGCCTGCAGCAGTCAGGCCACACACACTCAGTGCCCTGTCAGCACCAGCTCCAAAGCTTCCAAATCCATTGCTCAGTTTCAGGGTGAAGGCCCTGCCTTTCGATCAAATAATTGTCACTTAATCAAGCATCTGAAATAATCAGCTACAGAAATAAAACATGAAAAATCTGTATTAAAGTGTTGATATTGGTCCATTGTGGCTTGGCTTAATTTCACCTTCCTAATTGCAGCCCTGGCATTTCCCAGAATGATTTGAAGCATGTCTTGTTAAATCTCTAAGCATGTTTTCTGAAGCTGACCTCGGAGCAGAAAACTCCTTAATGCAGTGCACAGATGTTTTGAAAGTTGCCTTAGAGCCAAGTTGTGCAGCTCAGCTCCTTTCCCTTCTGAACTCAGCAGAAGTAGCTGGTGGCAGCAGATGGTGTGGGGGAGGGAAGATCAGCTTCTGTCTTACCCTTCCAGATAAGCCATCGGCTTCTATTTGAAATGAAGCCAGTTAATGCTGAACTGCCTCACCTCTGCATGACAGATCAGCCTCTGGGTGGAAACAGCGGCATAATGAATATGTTGTATTATGTTGCAGAAAGAAAATGAGGCTTGGAAAGCCCTGGAGAATCTTCCAGCAACTCATATTTACACCTCTGTGGCTAAACTTGATTACTTAACCCCTTCCCTTTCCCAAACCTGGCCTGTTTTTGTTACAAGCCCATAATCTGTGCCTCGAAACCAGCAGGGTCTGACAAGCTGTGCCTCCAACTTCCAGCACAGCACAGCTGGGACAGACTGCAAGTGGAACTGCTTCAGTCCCCAGCTCCAGGCCGTGCAAGGCTGCCCTCCTTTGCAGGGCAGGTACAACACACATGTACCATTTTGCCATGTCTGACACCTCTGCCCATCCCCAGGGATTTTAAAGATGTCGAGGCTGCCTTAAACGCCATGAAGAACGTCGCCCGGCTCATCAACGAGAGGAAGCGGCGGCTGGAGAACATCGACAAAATTGCTCAGTGGCAGAGTTCCATAGAGGACTGGGAGGTGAGAGGCTTCCCTTCCCTGGGAATCAGCTGTTCCATGTTGATCCTCTTCTGCCCTTCCAACAGCTTCTGCTAACAGGGAGATCTCACTATCCAGCCCTACCTCAGTTCTCTAACCTTCCTCGTGGCTTTTTTATTAAAACAGATGTGATCTTTTAGTACAACTGAACATGTCTAGCACCTAGACCAGCTGCCTTAGCATGTTCCCTGGGATTTCTGCTTTTTCCTTGCAGAATGAAATTAGCATGTAGGTTAGTGAAATTCTATTATTTTTCTCTTGCCCCCCATTTTATCTTGAGTGGTTTCAAACTCTCAAGATGAGAATTGTCACTTAATGCTTAATAAACCAGGTTATTGTTGCAGAAACGTAAGCTCTGATATAGTGACAGAGGAAGCCAAGGTTCCTGTAGACTCATTTTAAAAATTGCTAAACAAAAGAAACAAAATACTAATTTTCTAAATCCTAGACTCAATAAAACCACACTGCCTCCCTGCCCAAGGATGCCAGGCTAAATTCTCAGCTCTCTGCTTATGTGCTTCCTTTCTGTGTGGGATGAGGCAGCTTCCCTAAGCAGACTCCCTGGAAAAGGAGATTTTTTTCATTTAACACGCTATTGTTCTTCTCAGATTCAGTTCTCATTCCCTGGGTGCCAAGGGCACAGTGTCTCCATGACATGACGAGAACTGTCCTTCAGCACAGAGGCTGCCTCTCATTCCCAGAAGACTTTTATCAGCAGGAATTCAGGCCCCTCACACAAGCTGAGGTTCTCCTGTGAGACTACAGGCTTATTTCTTGCTCCCCATTTTCAGATGGCTGAGACCAACCTGTTCTCTGTGCTGTTCCCAGGGTGAAGATGTCCTGGTCAGAAGCTCAGAACTCATCTATTCCGGGGAATTAGCCAAAATCTCCCACCCTCAAGCCAAGAGCCAGCAGAGGATGTTCTTCCTCTTCGATCACCAGCTTGTCTGCTGCAAGAAGGTAACCCCCCAGCCAGGCACCAGTGCTGGCTACCACAGTGCTGAGGAATTTAAGTGAGCTCCCTCTCCACTCCTCTGTGTCCTTAATACTTACTGACATCGTGTGCTCCTGGCACTGAGACCTCTCTGTGCATTCACTGCAGTCTTTTCTCTGATGTCCTGGGGTGTTCTGTGCCCCTGAGCACAGCAAACAGCTACCAGCCTAATTCTCATACTGAAAGAGGAAAGCACTGCACTGTTTCTAGGGTTGGTAGAGGGGATATTTCATACAACTCAAGTGTAAGCATTCTCACATATTTTCTTTGAAATACCTTATTTTTCAACTGTGCTGTCACCTGAGATAAGTGTCAGAGTCAGAGGGCACCTGCAGCTTCGATGAAGAGCTGTGGGCCTTGGCAGTCAGTAAGACCATATTAAGTCACATGTAAGTCTGTAAGTACAGCCCATGTTTTTTATCATAACCTAAGTAATGAAATCTTCCTTCTTGGAGCCAATGAAAGGTAATTTCCTCTGTAATTTCAAAACTGAATGTGCCAATTATTTTTTGCACATTCCACATCTTGCAGGTAGCTCTGAGTAACTTGGGCGTGAAAATTGCTGTTCTCAAAGTTACTTTTCATTGTCAACTCAAGAAACAAGAACTAATTAGGATTTTTTCTTTTCTTTTTCTTTCCAACTGGGACTGGAGGATGCAAATAGTGTTTTCTGTCAGAGGACAGAAATGAGGGATTTGGGATAATATGTAATACCCAAGCTTGCTTCTCATTCAGATCTTCAGGGCAGCTGATACCCCCCCAACAGCAGATGCCACTTCTCCTGACCCCAGGGCCCCTCACTGCCAACAGTGCCCACAGCAGCTCAGCAATTCCACAGATTCAAATCCAGTATTCGGGGTTTTTTACAGAACTGTAATGACTACTGGGAAGATTAAATACATCACATCAGAGAAAATGAATGTTTAGGACAGGAAACAGCACATCTGTTGTGGTCTCTCTTACAGGACCTTCTGCGCCGGGACATTTTGTATTATAAGAGTCGGATCAACATGGATGACATGGAAATACTGGATGTAGAAGATGGGAAGGACAAGGACTTCAATATCAGTGTGAAAAATGCATTTAAGCTGCACTGCCGAGACACTGAGGAAGTCCACTTATTCTGTGCAAAAAAGCCTGAGCAGAAACAGCGCTGGCTGAAGGCGTTTGAGAACGAAAGGAGGCAGGTGCAGCTCGACCAGGAGACAGGTATGGAAAGAGCAATGCTGGGAGACAGTGGGGGTTTTTTGTTTGGTTTTGGTTTTCCTCTTTTTTTACCCACTAGCCAATGCCTGGGAGGGAAAGGGTGGGGAAGCCAGTCCATGCTCCAGTCCAGCCCCGAGCTGCTGAATTGCACATTCTGAATGAATCTGTGCAGTTAAAAAACCACCATGAGCCGACACTGCAGCGTGTCCCCAGGGAGGCTGATGTGTCTTTAATGAGTTCAGGCAGGGCTGAGAAAATAGGCAATACATTACATACAGCTTCCAGTATTCTGCAGTAGAGTGTGAGTGCCCAGCTTGGAGGTATCTGTACAGAACAGGTTCAGTCAAGGGCTCTCACTGTGCAAGAGGGTTTGCACTGTTTTGTCTAAATCCTGCTTAATTCAGCCCAGAGTGATCTAGAAAGATTTCAGCCAAACTGGTTTGGGCTGGCTTCTTCACCCAGCAAAGTGTGGGGCAAAGGGCAGGCAGCAAACCCGGCATGAGAGGTGGGGAAAGCTGTGCAGTGCAGGCTGGGGGGAGAGGGCTGTGCCCCTGCCAGCCTTGGCAATAACTGTGCCCTCTCACCTCAGGCATTTGCCTCCCCCCGGTATTTCCTCTGAGACACCAAACGATGACCTGCTGCTGACAAACTGTTTTATCTTCCAGGTTTTTCAATCACCGAGGTGCAGAAGAAGCAGGCCATGCTGAATGCCAGCAAGCAGCACCACGCTGGGAAACCCAAGGGTGAGTCACATCTGAGCACAGGAACGCTGTGACAGTAGGGGGTAGCTCGGTATTTACTACATGGGAAGAGTTCCAATGAAGTGGCAATAACAAGCTCTGGAGAAGGCCAGATGGTGAGCTCTGATGTGACAATCTGCACTACAGTTCCTGGTAGCTTCAGATGGCTGGAGTCAGGAAACTGTTCCTAACTCCAGGAGAGCTGCTTTGCACATAATCATTGAGCACTGTGCCAGAAACCATCAGCTCTGATCAGTGCACAGCCTGGCCTGGGGTCACAGGCTCTCCCAGCAGTGTGGCCAAAGGCAAGCTTTGTAGCAGTCCTCACGACACACAGAGTCATAAAGGTGACTGCAGCAGGGACTGTTCCTGCCTGGGGAAGATGCTCTGAAACTGCAGTTTGGGCAGAGTGCCAGGGGTAGGTATCATACTCGAACAGAGCTGATCATTCAACCTGTCAGACACAAGGATAATTTAGCAGCAGCCAGGGGAGTGTGAACTCAAGCAACAAACTGGAAGGTTCCTGTGCCCAGAGCACTGTTGGCTGAAAAGAGCCCTGTGATGCCACCTTCCCCTTCTCTCTGTTCAGAGGAAGAGGTGTCCCTTGCTTTCCCCTGGACCCACAGAGGAAGCCACTTCCTCTTGGTGGTACCAGCCAGCACTTAAATCCCAGCCACGTCTCCAGTAAGAAAGCTTAGCTAAATGTCAAAACAGGTCAGAAGTAAGATTTGGCTGCAAACAGAGGGAAGTTTGGAAGGAGGTCAAACCTCCCTAACAGAGCAAAGCCCTTGGGACAAAGCATTAGAGGTGGCCACAAGCTAGCCCTGTCCACTGGGCAGGCACTGACCATTCCTACTTAGAAATCCATCCCAGGATCTTGGAACAGGCAACGGCAGCATTTGCACAGCAGTTGCTTCTCCCAGCACAGGCAAAGGCACCAGTTAAGTTGGTGATGAGCTGCAGCTCTTCAGCCCTGTTGTTGTGTTGGCACAACACCTGGCAGTTATGTGGCACATTTCTGGAACTTCCACAGCATCAGCTCTAATCTTAACAAGCAGTGCTGAAAGTAAGGGTAAACTAAGGGAGGAGTAACACTAAGACAAACCCAGTTCATGGCCCTGCAGCTTTAACGGGGACTGAAGGGGGAGGAGGGAAGGGAGCTGTGCTCAACTAACATGCTTCCCCTCTCCTCCTCATCCCAGCTGTCACCAGGCCCTACTATGACTTCCTGATGCGGCAGAAGCATCCCACCCTGCCCACCACGCTCCCTCAGCAGCAGGTCTTCATGCTGGCAGAGCCCAAGCGCAAGCCCTCGAACTTCTGGCAGAACATCAGCAGGCTGACGCCCTTCCGGAAATAGGGGCAGCCCCACGTTTGTGCCTGAACCTCTTCTGAGAAAGCACTTTACCCGTCAGTCCTGGGAGGTGGAGCCCAGGTTCTTCCACTCCTTTGTTTACGAGGATGGCACATGTGCTCCTGCCTTCCCTATTTATTTTGCAGCCCGACTGACCACGCTGGTTCCGAGGCGAGACACTGCGTGTGCATTTGTGCCGTGGAGCCAGCCTTGCACAGCGCCCACGAGGCAGAGCTCCAGGAGGGGCTCACAGGAGGGAGCCTGACACGCTTCAGCTGAAGAGATTTTGCTTGTCAGCTGTAGATGGACTCACTCCTTCCCACTGTGCCCACCACTGCTGTCTGGCAGCTGTCAGAGGGGGTGGCAGCTGACAGACCCACTGCCGTGCTCAGAACGACAGTTCAGTCACTGACGTGACACACTGGCCGTGGAGGGACAAACCCTTCTGCTCTGCCCCCTGCCCCACGTTTCTCAGAGACATGATCCTCCTACACAGGCCCAACTAACTCAGCCTCTGCAGGCCCTCAGACAGACACAGTGAGTACAGCACTGTGACCTCTTCTTTCCTCTAGTCCAACACCACTGGTGAACGGTATCGTACATTAAACTGTGCCAACCTGCAGCATGAGTCAAGTTCAAGAATCTCTCTAGTGGGTTTGAGTTACATAAGTTAGAAAAAAATGTGCCTAATTAATACCATACTCAATTCCTTAGATTCTCGTCTCTCCATCATTCTGCCATATTTCCTGGCCAATGAAAATGCTCATTGTTTGTAATGTGTTTATTTATGGTAAAAATCAGAACTGTGTATTTTGTAAGTCTGTAATTGTTCTTGTCAGATGTTGTTAACTTGATGCCTGTTTTGTCTGTTTAATTTTTCTTTTTTTTTTTAAAAAAAGGTCAATATTTGCAAACCCGGCTCCCAGAAGTCAGAGTCTGCTGTTCAACTCTGAAACACAATTGTTATGCAAACTCCCACAGACCTTCTCAAATTCAAGGCGTGTTACTGACACTTTTAAAAAATGGAAAACCACTTTAAAAAGGCCTAAATTTGGCATAAGGAGCCTCATTTAAGTACCCAAGTTTCAAACTGTGGCCAAAAAGAATTAATTTGAACCTTGGTTAGCAAAAGGAAAGATTTGCCTTACCATAGCAAGAGTTAGAAGCCATACTGACTGAATTCCCTAGTTTAGGAGACATCCCGTGACAGTGGAAGGAAGATTCCTACTCATTCCAACTCGACGCTGTGTGAGTGAGCACTAACTGTCTGCAGAGCTCAGAAATCCAGTGTTTGTTGATGCTGTAGCTGACCAAAGTCTGGTCACCCAGGGATATCTGAATTCAGTAGCATGTACAAAGTCCTTCTTGCACTATATCTTCCCCCCAGACCAGGGGCAACATTTAATTTCATAAAGAAACTTGTAAAAGTGACTCTCAGCCTGTGTTTGTCTCCAGCATGTCTGTGTGAACTTGTTTCTCTGCAAAGGCACTGCAGAGATTCTGCTTTTGCAGCTCCAGCAGTGACCACACCACTTCACCCTCAGAGCAGCCACCCTGCACAGGGACCAGACCAGAGCGGGCACTGGGGACACTCTGCACTGGAGGGGACATGGGTCAGTACTGGGGGAGGGGCAGGGAAAAAAACAAACCCAGACAGAAAAAGAAACACTTCAAGAGCCACTGAGATCAGGCAGCTACATCACTGTTGGCATACTGACCTTTGCAATACAGACACACTGAGACACCCACCAAGAGACACACAGACCCCAACAGGCACACACCGAGACAGACATGGGCAAGGTGGAGGGAGAGAGATGGCAACCAAGAGAGACCCTGACACACAGACATGCAGACACACACACACACAGGTACATCAGCTACAGCCAGAAACCCTCAGGAACAGAAGGCAACTGTCACGTTTGTGTTTACCCTAAGTGTCTGCACCCTCCTTTCCTTATCCATGGCGTGTTTGTTTTGATTGGCCAGGAAGCAAATCTGTTGGCACTGAAATGATCAATTTTCTGAGCTTATCATCAGCTTTGCAGTAAGCTGGGGAGAGGACAGTTCCCCCCACAACACATGCACACACCCTCTAAGCATGATCAGCTGTGAAGATGCAACAGGTTTCTCATGATCTTGTCCAGCTGAGTGTGCTCAAGGGTGGGGATTCCCCCAAGAACCTCCTTGCCTCCCTGAACAAAACATTGCTGTCCCCACCATGAAAGAAGTGCTGACATCTATTCAAAGTGCCCCTTGCTGCAACATCTGTTTTTTAGCCACTATGTTGCTTAATACACTCAGCTTTACATCTGCATTGAAGTCACTCCACTAGAACTCCTCACCTCTTCTCCTGAGGGAAATGGGGTGACAGTGGCACAGGACCCTGGAGTGCAGCAGCTGTGAAGCGCAACAATGCCCCTGCCCTCCCTTGCTGAAAACACACACAAGAACTGGCTACTATTCATTATCTGGGTAGCAATATTCTGAACAGTAGATATGCACCAAGTGGTTTAAATTCTCACATCCCTTACCAGCTCTTCCAGAACTGATTTCACATCTGACCACTGCGCACAAATGATTCATAGCAACACTTTTTACAGAAACGTTTTTTTTACTGCCAAACCAGACTCCTCTAGTCAGACAACACCGCTGACCAGTTAATTATTTTTGGTAGAGAGAAATACATTCTCCGCTTGACTCTCAGTACTCTTCCTAAAACGCGTCCTCAGCTGGGATTCTAGTCTTGCACGCCAAGTTTGGAGCTGGGATCCGATCCCCTATGCAAGACTGAGATTGGTACAGAAGCTGATCGTGCTGGAAGAGGTGACACTGCTGAACAGGTAAGGCTCAAACCCACTGTGCTCAACACACCCACCCACAGCCTGCTCTGAAGAGGATTTTATCACGAAACACCACCCTTTGTTTTCTACCCAGCACTGCTTCCTGATTCTCTCACCACAACCCACAGTGTTTCCTGAACAAACTGTGTAGCAGATCACGTGCAAACTCATTGGTTTTAAGTGATTAGACACTCAAAAAAGTCATTGCCCAAGTTCCTCATTAAATGGCAAAGCGTCCTTGTGTGTGAGATGGTGGTAACACATTAACCAACCCTGAATTTCCTTCCTCTTTGCCCTGGCATCTGGATTTCAAATGGAGTTCCATTGTTCTGGCAGTGAACAGTACCAGGGAGAACACGTGTGTAAGTCAGGAGGTGTGTGTGTACACAGTGTGCAGCTTCACAAGGGCATCAGCTAAACTCGTGCTAACGGGGGTTTTGGCATATGAGCAACACAAGTACAGCCTCTGACAAGCTCTCTGATCTAAATGGACAGCACAGTCTTGGCAGATCCACAAGAAGTGCCCATTTGAAACATGAAGCAGAGCTGTGAGATGTCAGAGGAGCTCTGGAGATGAACCACCTACATGGGCCAGAAATGCAGATTTTCATACAGAACAAACTGAAGCTCCTGACATGAGGCTGAACAGCATCAATCCTTCTGGATTTCAGGGTAGAACCATCCTAACTGCTCAGAAAAACAGTTATGCACTGAGTTACATAAAGTGGACAGAAAGATTTGATTCCGGGGTGGTTTGGGTTTTCAGAGGTGTTGGCTCTATCTGTTCCCCTCCTGTAGCTATCCATTTAGGAAGCTTCTTGTGAAAACAGCCATGTTTCTTAAGGAGCTAAATCTGCCCAGTTTTCACTTGGTCAAGTAAGACACAGACTTATGTAAAGCATGTGAACCAATCAAAAGAATGATTTCCTGAAACTACCAGTAATGTGAAGAGAACTGGTGGCTGCTAGATAATGAAGTTTCTGGTGTGACCAAAAAAAATGCCACAAACTCTCTGTTTTGAACTGTTAGTTTGGAATAACTGATTCAGACACGGTGGGTGTATACACTGTGCCAAGTTCTGAGAGCATCAAAACCAGAACAAACTGTCTTTGTACTAACTCACAATAACAACTAGATCAATTCCAATGCAGAGATAAGTTCCCCCAAAGCAGCCTTTAGTATCTTTTCTGTTTTGTCTGTAACCTGAAGAGCTGTGGGGTATTGGGTGGTGGGGAGTCCTGTTTGTGGCCAGCCACTGTGTGCACTGCAGGTGATTCCCACCATCCAGGACACTGCTCCACAAAGCCAGCATGGCAGTCTGTCATCCAGGAACCAGCACAACCACCTGCATCTGGGTGTCCCAACAGCTTCCCAAGAACACCAGGAAGCCAGACCTCCCCCTCACCAACAGATGATAACAGAACCAAGGCACTTGCCGGTGACAGGCATTCCATGAGAATCTCAGCTTCAGACTGAAAATGCTACTTTTCTTGGGGTGCCAGAATGACTGAAATTAGTTTTTTTTAAAGGAAAAGGCCTTTCATCTTTTGCAATATGTGTCAGAATATCAGGCTGTGCTCCTCTAGATTTACTGTAGTGGAAAGAGCAGCATTGAAGAGATCAGTGCCAAGACTGATATGTAAATATCAGTGTTCTGAACAAGTACTGCACCACTCACCACCCAGACTGCTGGAGAACTGTCAGCACCTGTGGGGGACAACACCCAGCAAGTGCTAAATTCTTATTTTACTGGCTTTACTTCAGCTGTTTTAATGCTCCTGTCAGGTTTCACCATGTACCTGCTAAGGAGGGTTATGGCACTGCAATGCCCTTCTGGACAGTGACTATGGTAGTACAGCAATTCCTAAAGCTTTAAGAAGGGAACTATTCACACCTCATTCAACTGCTGGAGCCTCAGCCTGTACCTGCTGCTACTCATGTTTTCGACCAAGTCTCAACTAGAATGTCCTGTCCCAACCTACCAGCAGAAACTCCCTGTCACAGAGCTCCCAGCCTAAGCAAAGCTGTAGGATCAGGTCTTCAGGTAATTAATGGGTTAAAGAATAAGAGCTTTGATAATGGAGAGAAGTTCACTGAAAAAAATTTGAAGTGCTTTCAGCTGATTTTAACCCACTGAAGGCACAGTTGTATTCTTTCAGGTTGATAGTGCAAGAGAGGGAATCAATCTTCCAAGCAGCAGAGACAAATCAATTCAGATCGTTTCAGAGTGAAGCCAGTGCAAGGTGACAGCCAGCAGTGTGACAGGGCACAAGGCTCCTGCACTTCCCCGAGTGCCACACAGGGTGGGGGATCACATGCTCCAGAACAACCTGGATTCACTTGCCTTTACACTCACAGCCACAGCTCCAGGCTCAGAAGCCAAAGGGTGTTCCTTTCCAGCCACACAGCAATCCCAGCTTGCCCTGCCTTGGGATTAACACCTCGCACCACACTTCATTTCTCCCCGTGTCTCTCACACATTATCCTTAACAAGCTACATTACTAAAATCCCATGGCTTTGGCAGTGCTGGCAGTTTTAGGAAAAACGCAGGCTGCTTGTTCTTTTTGCTTAACACTCCTGTCATCTTCCTCCCCACAACTCCACCCTCCTCTCCGCACGTCCTGAGCTCCTCTTTTGCACAACTTCGCTACCAAAGCAGCTCCCCGTTTCACAGCCTGTGCAAATGCAATACCTGTGATATTTCCCCCAGACCTGTGTACCTTTGTGTGACTGCTTACATATACAGTTGTGAGATGGGAAATAAAAAAGCTACCAACTTTAGTCTTGTCTAATTCTGTAATCCTCCCACAAAACACTACTGAGTATACAGCATCAGCCTTTATATCTGCCATAATCACATGTAACAGCATTCTGCTTAGAAGTTCCTGCTATCTTTCCACACCTGCTTCTTCCCCTTTTCTCATAAGCAGCAGCCTGCCCACCCATTACCTGGGCTTTTTTTCTTTAACCTCCAGCAACCTGAAACAATATGCTTGCTATCTAAATCCCACCATGAACAAAATCCTTACCCCAGCTACAGCCACAGGAGCATTCGTGCACTGAAACAGAGTTGAGCGCTAGAGCTCAAGTGTGAAGTCCACATGATTACAATTCATAAGGCTGGTGAAAGCAAAACTGAGGGAAGGTGTGTTCCTCTCCCTCTGTCTGAAGCGTCAATTTGTCCATGTACTTTACCCTTCTTGCCCAGAAAAGAGAAAGTTATTGTAAAACACTATAAAGTAGATTCATATAATCCAAAAATGAAGGTCCAGCTGCAGTAATCGAAGCTGACAGCTGAGCTGTTCAGTGATAAATTTTCTCTGTCAAGGTTGCGTTGGAAATATCTTTTAGTCCAGCAGCAAGGACTACAGCTATGGGTTACCTGTACCCACAAGGCTCAACAGCCTTCCCTCTAGGTCTGCCATTCCCTCTGTGACACACAGCACAACTTCCCACAGCTACCAAAGACTTCTTGCTGCTGTAAATTTTTTAATGTTTATTTTAAAGTAGTCACATGGCCCCCATTCTATTCTGGATGATTAATATTCTGGATAGCTAATAGCCTGATGGATACCAAAATAAAATCAGGA